TTTAGCCATTGAGCCATTGGTTTGGGCCCTACATTTCAATATTGTGGTAAAATCCTGTTTCTATTATTTTCTCTCACTGCTTTTATTTTTGGGTATAATATTATAGGAATAATTACATTGCTGAATTTAATTTGAAGCTTTTACCAAGTGTTTTCTTTAAATAAAGTGTTTTATTTTTTAACTATATATTTCTTTGATTTCCTAAGTTTTTAACTTAAGATTATTGTCAGGCACTCTGTTTATCATGTTAATATATGCAAAAATTTTACTTCACAAAATTTGCTAGAACATGCAATAAACAAATGGTAATTTCTTTTGAAATTGCCAACTTTTGAAATCTCCCTTGTGTTTCCATTCTGTGTATGGTTTGTGATCTTGTTGAAGAGCTTTCATATGCACGAATTTGAAAAATCTTTTTGCACAAATAATTTTAACATTTAAAAATAACTTGTGAGCTGTGGCATACTAATTGAATGCATGTATACATTGTGTATTGACCACAATAGGGTAACTAATATTTCTCCTTCCTTGACATTGTTTGCTGGCCGGTGATTTGGAGTAGCTTCAAATAGAATGGCCATATGATCAGAAATGCCACTTGAAATCATGGCAAAAATGAAATACATGTTCCACTACATTTATTTCAGCATTGCTTGCAGATGCCAAAATGTGGATCCACCAAGGTGTTTATCATTAGATGATTGGATAAAGAAAATATAAAACATAATATGGTCCTTTGTAGCAAAACAGATGGAACCAGAGGAGATCATATTAGCTGATATAAACTCTCATATATGGAAAATAAAACAATGGCAACAAAAATCTATCTGGACACGGAATGATAGTTATTTGAGATTGCAAGAGGTAGAAGGATAAGGGAATTTAATAATAGGTACAAAGTTACATGTGCATAGAAGTTATTTGCATAGGTGGAACACTACAGTTCCTTAAAAATTAGTACGCATATTGTATGAAAAATCTATCTTTTGATTGTGGTTTTTAATTCACCTTGAAAGTCATTGCTGTTAGAGAAGCACTTTACCAGTTCTGCATTAGTTTTCTGTGTCTCAAAGCTTTCTATATGTCTCATTTTCTTTATTATTTAACCGTTTCTTATTTAGTTCACTTGTTATAGCAACATTCTTTCAACTTCTCATTTCTTTTCTTAAGCAAATTAGGTATTTTCTTTATGGTTAATATCCTGAAGTTATAACAGTCTGACTTAAATTTATACTAACCTAGCTTTATAATTAATTCAAAAAGGTAAAAGTAGAGTAAGTAATTTGTCCAGATATGGACTTGATTTAATTGCTCATTGGTGGATGAATGGATAAAGAAAATGGTGTGTTTGTTTATATATCTAAATATTTTTGCTTGGATGCGAAAAAAGAATGGAATTCTAACACACAGTAAAATGGATGAAGCTGCTGCAAATCATTATTGTAAAGTGTATTAAGCCAGATGCTTGTAAATACTGCATGTTCTCTGTCTCATACAGAATTTTAAAAAGTTGATCTTAATTTATCATAGTGATTTCTAGATGCTATGGACAGTGTTGAGAAAGAGGGACATTGAGCAACAACCCTCTATGAATATAAGAAATAGGTTAAAGTTTAGCAAAATAGAAACAATTTGTGGAGAACATGAATATTAAAATTTATGTGTTACTCTACAATTTTTTACTTTTGAGCTGGTATTAATATTACCAAAGGCATTAATTATACAATGTCACAATAATGGTAAAGTAGCATACACAACACAATAAAAATGTAAATTTACTCTCTCTTGCTCTGTGTAACTTCAACTTTCAAATAAATCATTTTTTAAAAAAGATAACTTTTGATATTACATATATGTTTCGCAATAGTTAGACTTAAATCAGTATTTAACATGTTCCTGAGCTCACATTCAATATTTCTAAGTAGGGAATTTCTGTGGACCTTGTTTTCCACAGATCTAACACGACTTAACAGGGGCACTGTCAGAAGCCATATCATGTCACTTATAAGTGATGTGATTTAGAAAAAGAATGAAATGATTTGGTCCCAAACTTTTCCACTTACAATTTTCATTGATATCCTCTTATCTTTCTGATGTATTACTTAAGAAGAAAAATACAAAGTCATATTAACCTCATTCCTCTAATTATAACCTACATTTTCTACCTTGATATTTTTAGGATATTTTTCTCTTCCATCAAAATCCAAGCCAGTTTCTAGGAAATTCTTTGGTGAGTCTGATTAACTAATTTTCTTCAGCTAATAGTGAGTGTTCTCAGTTTGTAAACTATAGTACACAATTATTTCCTTAAATACTGTGGCTATTACCATCTCCCCTTTAGAAAGCATTACTCTCCTTGGGGAAAAAATAGTGTTCAATTTTAATTTTAATTTATTGTTTTATGTTTGCTTTCATAATTTTGACTCCTTCGTTCATTTCCTGTTACAGGAAGAGCTTTTCATGTTTGTTATAGTATGCATATTAGAATTTTTAATTTACCAAAGCAAATTTATTTTTCATTTTTCAAATTATTTTATTTATTCTTGTTTCTACAAATTTTCTTTCACTGTATCTTCGTTCCTGCTTTTTAAAAAAATATTTATTAGGAAGGCAGATATATAGTGAGAAGGTGATACAGAAAGAAAGATCTCCCCTCCACTGGTTCTCTTCCCAAGTGCCCACAATGACCAGGACTAAGTTGATCTGAAGCCAGGAGCCAGAAGATTCTTCCAAGTCTCCCATGTGGATGCAGGGTCCCAAGGCTCTGGGCCATCCTCAAATGCTTTTCCATGCCACAAATAGGGAGCTGGAAGTGAAGTGGAGCAGCTGGGATAAGAACTGCTGTCCATATGTGATCCTGGCACAAGCCAGGCAAGGACTCTGTCCACTAGGCAAGCATGCTGTGCCCTATTCCTGCATTTGAGATATAAATTTTCTTGCAGTTTAAAGATGCTATAGCGTTTTCTTCAATTATTTCTGCATCTAATAAGAGATTTCTCTGGCAACAATTAAGGGTGATCTTTTTCTTTTTTTTCCTTACTACTGGGACAGGTCTTTCTCATATAACCCACATAACTCATTCTAGGGCCAGTAGAAATTTGTCTTGGGTAAAAATGCACCAACTATTTGGACTGATTTTTGTGTTTGGTCCTTATTTTGGTTCCAGCTTTGGGAAAGGTGGGTGTGCATTATTTCTTATGGTTTTCCCAGACTGCCCAGCAGGATATTTCACTGTGATTCCACTGATTCTGCCTCTCTACTTCCTCATCTCGTGGTATTAAGGAACAAACGAAGTGCCAGGTGTTTAACTTGTCCAAGTAACCCTCTGGAGATTGAATCCAAATCTTGCTTCTTCTTGGTCACCTTTCTCCTTTTTTCCTTCTTGCAAATAATAGCAACAATATCATATTTATATTTTCAAAACTAAATTTATTATCACTATTACCAAAAGGAAATAAGATTTGATATTTGCTGTATTTCTAGAGGTGAATTTCTGGGAAAAAGTCTGCCAACATTTTTTTTTAAATAAAATTTTTATTTATAATAGTTGGTTTCTAAAGCAATATAATAATATCCTTTCATTTGCAACATCCATTTGAGTTTATGCTTATCATACAAAAATTCAATTTTGAGAAGTCTTCAAAAAGAAAATTAAAACTAGCATTATGTCCTTTACAATTGTTATTGTTCCGTTTTAGTTGTTTCATTTGCTATATCAGTTCTTTTTAGAATGGATAGTGCAGGGCCCCAGCATGATAGATTAGTGGCTAAAGTCCTTGCCTTGAAAGCGCCGGGATCCCATATGGGCGCTGGTTCTGGTCCCAGTGTCCCTGCTTCCCATCCAGCTCCCTGCCTGTGGCCTGGGAAAGCAGGCCAGGACAGCCCAGAGTTTTGGGATCCTACACTCCTGTGGGTGACTTGGAGGGGGTTCCTGTCTTCGGATTGGCTCAGCTCCAGCTGTTGCGGTCACTTGGGGAGTGAACCATCAGATGGAAGATCTTCCTTTCTGTCTCTTCTCCTCTCTGCATATCTGGCTTTCCAATAAAAATAAATAAATCTTTAAAGAAAAAAAAGGATAGAGCAATAATTAGTTAAGCGGCTATAGAATTAGATATACAGAGAGAATTCAGGTAAAATGAATGCATGAATGAGAATGCCATCATGATGACATCTGAGATGCTCAAATTTTTATGAAATTGGATGTTAACCTATGTAATCATAGGTATCATATGCACACATCATATGTACATCATATGTATCACATGTCATACATTTTATAAATGTAAATATTATAAAGAAAATGAAGAAAAGGAAATATTTGTAACAAAGTGTATTAGCACCCCACCCTTAAACACATGTAAACACTCAGTCTCAGGGGGAGTATTATATATACTTAAATACTATCAGCATTCATTCATATGAATATTTTTTCATTGCCAATATTGACTGTTAGGCATTGTTCACCTTTTAAATATTTGAAATGGAAAAACAGTATTGTTTGTGGCATGTAATTATTTGATCACTAATATTTTCAGCACTTCTTATCCATACATAAGTGCTTTTCTGTGACACTTGTACTAAAATCCATAATTATTTTCTAATTTGTATCACTTTTCACTAACAATATTAGCGGTATTAGTTACATCCATGACTATTATGTTTTTGTACAGATAGGAAATAAATTTAAACTTTTAACTCATTTTATTTATATTTTGTATTGCATTTTTTCACTATTCCTAGTTAAGAAAGTAAGTTTATATAAACCATGAGTTATACTAAATGTGGTAGCAGCTCAAAGAATTATGCAGAAGTGTAAAAAATGAAATCTTTCCTAGTGAGTTTCATTCTGTTCAGAGTAACAGCAACCTGAATCAAATATCACTTCTTCACTTAGTCTGACCTTTTTCTTTTTCTTTTTAATTGCAGATAGTAAAAGATCATGCCTTGAATTCTCCAAGCTGACTCTAAAGGATTCCTTTCAAGATTTGATTGTTCCCAGAATAAAGATAATTCTGATGCTATATACAAGAAACAATCTAAACTGTGCAGAGGCCCTGTTTGAGCACAATAACTCCCTAAATCTGAATTTCAACACCCAGAAGAAAACAGTCTGGCTTATTCATGGGTATAGACCAATGGGTTCCACCCCATCATGGCTTCGGAATTTTTTGAGGGTTTTGTTGAATGAAGAAGATATGAATGTCATTGTAGTAGACTGGAACCGGGGCGCAACAACATTTATTTATAATAGAGCAGTCAAAAACACAAGAAAAGTTGCAGAGAACTTGAGCGGACACATTCAGAATCTTTTGGTGAGTCTAGGAATTTTCTGAACTATGCATAGTGTACACTCTTTAACATGTTGCTTAATACCATTAAGTAATAATAAAATACATTTTCCCGTAGATAAACACATGAGGATTATTTGCAATTACCCAAATGAAAACCTTGATACTGAATTTTCAATTACAGAAACATGGAGCATCGCTGCACAATTTTCATTTCATAGGTGTGAGCTTAGGGGCTCATATTAGCGGATTTGTTGGAAAGAAATTCCGTGGTCAGCTTGGAAGAATAACAGGTAAATACAAAAGAAAACAAAAATAAAACCTTTTTGAACTTACTTGTTCCAGAATGCTGTTAAGCACCAGAAGTTACTGTATTTAAAATTTGGTTAAGATAACTTTGGAGCAAGAAGAATCATACACATTTTTCTTGCATTAATTATAGAATATTAGACATTGTCTCATTTATATTCCAAAGCTTTATTTTAGTTCTTTGCAAAACTTAAGTCTTCAAGATGAAAATGAAAGGGAATAATATATTTCTGCAACTCCGTATAAATTTAGATACATTAATTTAAGAACATAGAGGGAAATATGGTTGATTACGGTAAAGATTGTCTATTCATTTATAAGCATTAGCTGGTAGAGTGCTAACTGTATCTACATGTCTACATTCTTAATTTTCGCAAACCTTGATAAGTATCCATTCTTCTAAATGTTTTTCTTGAGTGCATAAAGGGCGAGTCATGAGTTAGCTCCCAGTTTGAGGGTTTCTGGGTCCCATTTGATCTCAGACTTTGATAACAGAATTGATGTATCCTGAATACCCAGGGACTAACTAGTGTTGGCCAAGATTTTTATTCTTCTGGGAATGATGATGATTTAGAACTAGAAAGGTAATAGTTCTCTCAAAATGATTTACCTTCTTAATGAACAGTTATTAGTATCTATGTTTATGGATAATTAGCAGTATTTTCACACACCAGTAAAAGGTAATAGAGACTACAGTTAGATTTCAGGAAGGATGGAGAGGTGTCTACCTGTTTACATAGGTTGGAGCTTACAATATCTTATACTCAACTCATTCAATAAGATCATGGCTAACATTATTCTCAGGAAACATAAATGAGTTTAACTGAGGGGATATAGGATCAGAACATAGCAGCTAAACCTCAATGTACATAATCCCATTCTCCTTCAATAAATGCCCTTGTTCAGTGCAAAATAGTCCTACTTCATTCCCGTGTGTGTTTATTCATAGATAAGACTGATTGGAAAGTCTTAAAAATCAAGAAATGATCAGAACTGCAAAGACAAGCAGATGTGGAAATTCTCAATTAGAATAAATTATATCAAGAGTGAATCTGGACATTCAAATCAGGGGAATTCAGCTGAATCAGACATTAGCAAAATTTTACTTTACTCATAAAATATCTTTTTAAAAATTATTATTTCTCTACTGAGACATTCTTTCAAGGAATTGAATTTTTTAATTTCATATCTCACCCCACCCCCTGTTTTTTTTTTATTACTGTTAAGAAAACCATTAACTTGTAGTTTTAATCTCAAATTAAGATAACCCAGAAATAATATCAGTGTTCTTGATTGTTCCAACTTCATAAGGTGATCAGCGCTTCTCTCCACTCCCTCACTCCTCAGCAGCCTCATCTTCAAATACAATTCTGTTTCTTAAGATGGTATGGAAATCTCTCATGATAAATAAATAGTAAGAAAATAAAGAGAATATTTTCTTGTGTATTATAGATTTAATTTGATAGCTGAAAAGCATTCTAGACGAATAGAGAAATTTAAAGTGAAATAGTAAGGCCAGTCTGGTCATAAGAGGAACAGGTTATATTCTGTAATTTCTGTTTCTCAGGAGAAATAGTTGTTACCAAATATTAGGTTACTAATAGACTACCCATTATTACTTTTTCAGTTAAAGTTATTTTTAACATCCCATAATATTTTCTTAAGGCATCTCTAGTAAATTTGGCTTAACTTGACAATCTTTGAATATCAGTAATAAATATGTTGAAATAATAAATATACTTGATATATTTAAGTTCACTTATTTTCCATTATATTTTGAACAAATTATGTTTTGAGCAAGTTTAAACCAGCACTATGAATATATCCTAGGTTTTCAGTTCAGTAACAGTGCAACACCATAGTAATATCTAGTGATATCTGATTTTATTGGTAGTTTGATTCTTGCATTTCAGGTCTTGACCCTGCTGGGCCAAAATTTTCTGGAAAACCGCCCTACACGAGGTTGCATCACACTGATGCGAAATTTGTGGACGTCATCCATTCTGATGCTAATGGTAACCGTGTAGGATATATTGCTTAATTATTTAAGAATTGAAAAGAGAAATTTAGCCCCGAGAAGGAGAAAATAACAAAATGGGAATAAAATGATTTTAAATCTGTGATCATAGATTGGTAACGTTTTATTAGCAGAGCAAGCATTGTCTGGAGTTAGTGGTCTCCCATGCTCCTCGCCTTCAGCTTGCCTCTCAGATTTTGCAAGATGCCATGTCATTGCACAAAATGAGAGCGTGCTGAGACAACTCATCCTGTTCACTTGCTGCCAGTTTTATTGATTGCATTGTTGGTGTTTTGATGTATCTAGCTTGCGGTGCACCTTCGTTTTCTTTCAGTGCGGAGTATCAACTCACATTGAAAATACTATTTCAATAAGAAAGAGAGGTTCCTACAAAAAATACAGAATTTGTCATTGTAAATTATCTTCTTAAAAATGTCTAACATATTAGTATTTTAGATCACAGTACATTGAATAGATACATTTCATAAATGATGAACCATTCTGAGGCCTTTCTCTTGGAGATTGATAAGATTAACATTTATGGAACAATGCGTGTACACCAGGCAGTGTTTTAAGTGTTTTGTTTAAATTAATTATTGAATTTTCCGAAGTGCCTATGAGATTGATAATCATAATTGTTTGTCTTTTTATATATGGAGTAACTAAAGGGTCAGAAGGTCCATCAGTAAATGGCCCAAAATATGAAACCCTATATCTTGGTTTCAGAGTATTCACGTCACCACTACGTTGTTTCTGGAGAACTGACAGAGTGCAGGAGTTGTGGACAAGGACATGGGGATGGTAGGGCTTCTGTCTTGTCTAAAACAGAGACAAAAGGAAAGACAGTGAAACTGCAGCTGAATCCCTGCTTCTTTTGGTTCCCCTTTTCTTTAACTGGAGTGCTACAATTGCTCTCATGTCATCCTTATTTTACCTCGCGGTGACTCACGGCAGCTTCCTCTCTGTGAGTTGTAAATGTCACAGATGGCAGTATTTCAACTCTAAGACTATCTGACAAGGAACCGAAGTTTCCTGGAATATCTGTGCTGCTTATTTGGAATCTAGGCTTATCCTTTAGAAGTGAACACCAAAAGATTTGCATTTAATATGGTACCCTACCTGCTCGTGGCTGTTTTTATCCCAGCGCTTACTGTTACACCCGTATCCACTGTCTGGACTCTTCCTCTGAAACCTCAACAATTGCTTCCAATTCTCTTGAAATTAAGGAAATATAAACAATAGTGATTTTCAAAAGATTTAAATCTATAAGACAAAATAAAATCTCATTAAGATACATGCAATTAAAGCTGCAGGAAAGAGTATAATTTTAAAAAAAATTAAGTATCATTTAAAAAATGGAGATCACTGAGTATATGCAGGAGTGACAGAGACAATAGTATTTTCAGTATGATGAAAGGAAATAACTGCCAAGGTCATATCCCTGGCAGTTTCAAGAATAAAATGGAACAAATACATTTTGCCTCAGACAAATTCATAAAACGGAACAGTTATGAATAGAATGGTTATTCTTCAGGCTTAAGAAAATTATTCTTACATTGTGGCTATTTAGGAAGCTAAAAAATAAAAATGGCAAAATATGAATGGACACTGCTTGAAATATTATCTATATACAGATATTTTCTATTAAATTCATTGTAAGGAAAATATAAAAGTGACTTTTCAATACTTTTATAAATAAACTCTTCTCGTTGAATCTCCAGAATATCCAAGAAAAGAAGAATGAGTGAGTATGCAATGCCAAACTGTTCCAGGACAAAAGTACATTATATTAAAATATTACAGTTGATATGGTCAACTAAAGTAGTAAAATATAGCTGCACTAAAAACTTGAATTTTTTTACTAGTCCTTCAGCTGTGGACTATTATATGATGTGGTTTCACATAAACACCTTCAAAAAAAATGAAAAAAAAAAATACAGGTCCGGGCTGGTAGCCTAGTGGCTAAAATCACTCGCCTTCCACATGCAGAGATCCCATATGGGTGCTAGTTCTAATCCCAGCCAACCTGCTTCCCATGCAGCTCCCTGTTTGTGGCCTGGGAAAGCAGTTGAGGATGGCCCAAGGCCTTGAGACCCTGTACCAGCATAGGAGACGTGGAAGAGGCTCTGGGCTACTGGCTTTGGATTGGCTTTACATTGTGGCCACTTGGGAAGTGAATCAACAGATGGTAGACTTTCCTCTGTGTCTCTCTGTGCACTTCCTTGCTTATGTTGTGCAAACTAAGTAGAGGGATAGCTATGTTTATTTATTTGCCGCTGTCTTAATCAAATCACACTGATGCTAACCCTAGTCCTGGCGATTTCTATCAAGTTGTCTAAATTTGTTTTATCTTTCCTAAATTGTGACCACTTCTCTGCACCTTCTGTAGTACACATGCCTAGAACCCGATATCCTTTATCTAGTTACACGTTACCATGCTGTGTTACATACTACAGTTAGACCAAATTATCGTGTCTTAATTCTTAACATTTGGCCAAATATTTATCTTTTTTTTTTTTTTTTTACCTACTCTATGGCTGATTACTGTCAAGAATTCATTATGCTGTAGCAAATGTCTTGTGTCCCAGTATTTAACTCTTATGGCTCATTTTTGTTGAAGACTCACATTGCTAATTGATTTAATATTTTAACCTTCACTAGATATATCTAAAATATACATAACCTTCTGTATTATGCATGCATTTTTTGTGCTACTCTGGCCCAGAATTCTAAGACAGAATGTTTTTTATTTATCCTTTTAATGGATCTAGCTCTAACAACTCATGGGCAATGTTATCTAATGTGAGAGTAAATGATCACCAAGGTCTGCAAGATCCTAATTGACTTGGCTTCATTCCTCTGATACGCCTTTTCTATGCACACTGTACATAGAAACTGTAGTAGCCACTGTAGTCTCTTTGAATATACCGAGCATACCTACATAAATCCTTTGGCTTACTGTTTCACATCCTTCAGATCTTTGCCCAACTCCAACCTCATCAGTAGAAAATTCTCTAATCTGACTACAGTGAAGTGAGTATGTTATTGGGAATTTCTGTTCTTTAGTTTATCAATTTTTCCCGTAGCACTGATTCTTATTTACCATCCTTCATGTTAACTTGTGTTTCCTATTTGTCTTCCACTCTGAAAAGCAAATTTTTGTGTAGTTTTAGTCTTGTTTTTTACTTATGCAATTTATGGCATAAAGTACTGTGGTCGAAAAAAGATTGCTGATTTTTTTATATGTTAAATTGATTAAATGCATATTTTATAAGTGATTACTATAATGGATTACTCCCAGTAAAACATAATTTTAAAATATTATTTTTTTCAATGTACAGTTATAGAGTCACTCACAGTGGATTTGATAACAGATTTTATTTCATACAAATGTTACTGGCCTGCTTCTGCACACTTAGGCTTGCGTTCTTCTATTCTCAGGTTTAGGCATTGGAGAGCCCTTGGGACATGTAGACTTTTATCCAAATGGAGGAAGAAAACAACCTGGCTGTCCTAAATCAATTCTTTCAGGTATAGAATCTGCTTTTTAGTGAAATACAGATGATTGAAAAGAAGCAAAGAATATAAGTCATTGAGAGAACCTAAGTATCTAAAGTTTTGACACCAGTTTGATTTCGGTACCTCAGCTTGACTGTCACTACAGTACTGTACATATACACGCACTTGACAATGGCTGTCTTATGAATAAACACACGTGATCATCAGTTTGGGGTGGATTTGGCTCACATTGGAGTCATAGATAAAAATAGCTGGCGGTCACATTCCAGTTGGCTAAGTAATCGCCTCTGTTCTAAAGTCACTGAAGATAGACACCTCTGGCCAAACGAAAGATGTATAACATTGTGGAGAAGAAGAAACAGATTTAGGATAGCTGTTTTCTTATTTATTCTTGACATTGATTGGACATATTGGGTGTCGAAGATTCGAGAAGAAGTGCATGTACTAGTTATCAAATATAAACTCTAAACTTAAAGAGTTTATTAGGCTGTGGAAAAGTATTATATTTTGTTACTATTTTAAAAATTAGAAATGTTGTATACAAAGCAACTTTCAGGTTTGGCAACGCTATTTGTTCAGTAACTTTCTATGTAATTATATATTGCAGTCAACCCTTTAATATTCATAAACAATATTTGATGTATCTTAATCTTTTATTCTTCTTTAAATTACTTTACTTGATCTAAACTATCAATTGTTGCTTCATTGTGTGGTTATTTTTTTAACCCAAAAGGAATTGATTATATCAAGTGCAACCACCAAAGAGCGGTATACCTGTTTATGGCAGCTTTGGAATCAAACTGCAATTTTGTCTCCTTTCCTTGTCAATCATATCAAGATTTTAAAACCAGTTTATGTGTGGATTGTGACAAATTTAAGAAAACATCATGCCCGATTCTAGGTAAGATTTTGATATTTTATTGTATGTATTTTTTGAAAATGAATTACAATTGCATTAATATTTTGTGCTGGAAGCTAAAATATGCTTATGAACTTGTTGATATGTTGACATTTTAATAGAACTTTATCTGAGGAGATGTTACAGATACTTATTTACTAAATCTTTTAAGAACATGAAATTAGAGGCATTTGGTTAAATGTCTTAGAAAAAAATACTTTTATTTTCATTTTGTTTGACAGGCAGAGAAAAGAATGAGAAAGTGACAGAGCAAGGCAGTCAGTGAGTGAGTGATTTATTCCCCAGATGCTGGTAACAGCCAAGGTTGGACCAGGCTGAAGCCAGGAACACCATCCATGATATAGCCTGGGGAATAGGGCCATATTTATATATTTACTTGGGCAATCATCCATTACCTCAGGATACACATTAGCACAAAGTGGAGGAGTCAGAGCTTTGTCAAGCTACTCCAATATGTGGTGCTAGTACCCCAAATTTAATTCAAAGTATGCCATCTACCCATCCCATCCATTTAAATGTCTCTGTATGTTCTATTTACTGGGTAAAGTAGGTGGCATCATGATGATCCTTTTTACTGACACTCGAAATGATCTAACTGGCATCCCAGTTGTCTCCACTTGGAAACTGAGGCCCTGAGCACCTTTGTCTTTTAATGGAGAATCTTAATGAAGAAGTATTAACTGTAGATGTCTATTTACTACCAGTAGGTAGACATGTATCATATGAGAATACTTCAAGAACTTTTTGCAACAATCAGATTAAAATGTAAGTTAATTTTATTCCAAAATTTTGGAATTTTGGAATTTGTACACAATTTTTTTCTTTTATTTAAGGAATTATTTATTTTTCATGGAAAGTCAGATACACAGAAAGAGGGAGAGACACAGAGAAAGATCTTCCATCTGCTCATTCATACCCCAAGTGGCTACAATGGCTGCAGCTAAGCTGAATCAAAGTCAGGAGTCAGGAGCTTCTTCTGGATCTCCCACATGGGTGCAGGGTCCCAAGGTTTTGGGCTATCTTTTACTGCTTTCTTGGGGCGCAAACAGGGAGCTGGATGAGACGTTGAGCAGCCAGAATGTGAACTGGTGCTTGTATGAGATATCTATGCTTGCAAAGCAAGGATTTTAGCCACTAGACAACTGTGCCATACCCCACAGCTTTTCCTTAATATATATGTATATATTAATTTCCACGATTGTTTTGAAATCAGATGTGTGCATATGATACGTTTCAGTTACTGTACTAAAGTAAGTTTGCCTTTTATTCAATTTTCCGTAAATATTTTGAAGTGTTTTCGTACAGGTGCACAACTTTTAAACTATGAAAGCCTGGTAATAAGATTTAAGTACTGCAGCCTCTAATAACTTGCCTGCCAGCAGGAAGTTTTAAAGATAAAAAAAGTCATGTTACAACAGATTGCTAAGGGAAAAGTGTTTATCTGAGTGATTTGAAAGTCCATGTCCCACGTTGGAATGGCTGAGTTTAATTCTGAGCTTTGGCTCCTGACACCATCTTGATAATGTAGACCTTGGGAAATAGCGAAGAACTTTATTCATTGGTCATCTACCACCCATCAGTGAAACCCCAATTAAATATTTGCATCCAGATATTGGCCCTGCTCCAGCCATGCCCAGTCAGGCCATTTAGGGAGTGAACCAAGCACGTAGAAGTTTTCTATAAATCTGCAAACCCTTCTGCTTCTCAAACAGCAAAAACTGGAGGCAACCTAAGTAAGTTGTTTTTTGAGTGCTGTGCAAATGGGTCTTGAAAATGCACACATATGATTTGTCTATCATTAGAGGGTCATCCATCTATATTTCCAAAGACATTAAGGCTCAAGAAATGAGTAATGATTATAAAGGCTGGAATGAAACTCTCTCTCTCTCTCTCTCTCTCTCTATATATATATATATATACAGTTATTCTCACTGAATTCATTCTAGAAGAGGCTTATGCAACACAGGTTTATTAGCGTTATTTTCAAAGACTTCTACCTACAAGAGAGCAAATGAGATTCATTTTCTTTGGATCTATGTTGAAGATTTATTTGGTGACCCTTTTGATTTTCCATACAATGAGGAAACATTTAACTCAATTGACGACATAGGTTGCACATATTCACATTTTATGCGATTAATTTAACTGCTAAATTTATTCAAAGTCATGTTATAAATAAGGTTTGCATTTATGCCAAGACAAACTGTTATAAGAAACTATCCACATGATGAATGCAAAGCTCTGAAAATCCTTGAGCGAGTGGGATTCCTGGTGAATCTTGAATTTGAGTTGTTACTCCACTTAAAATAAATCTGATGTTATTTGAAAAATGCTTTAAAAGAGTTTGAAAAATCTATGAGGATGATAAAAATGAAAAAAAGAAACAAACAATCCATGAGGGTGATGATACACACAGATTCCTGAATTACTATGAGTGATTTGAAGTATTTTTATGTAATTTGATGGAAGCGCAATTTTCAGTGTTGTTTTCTCAAATCTCAGGTTATCAAATGCAGCCATGGAAAGATATTTTCGAAGAAAGAATGAATAGATGGCCTAACAGGAGCACTGTGTATTTGGACACTAGTGGCACAAATCCATTCTGTAGTAAGTCATTTATATGTTTAAAAAAACAAGCAAATTATTAGATTTTAAACAATCACTTTCACATTATCCAAAATGTTCTTTACATCTATTAAAAAAAAATCACCACTTCAAGAAACTTTAGCACTAGGTAGACTTGATTAAATTAAATACTTGATTCTTTTGATACTTGATAATACTTCCCCAACGAAGCAATCAAGGGTTATCTTCAACAAATTTAAATAATTACATTTTAGAAACTAGTGTTTGTGAGATATTTGGCAGGCAAGTATTTTCACACATTTTGTAACATTGCTTTTTTTTTTTATTGTTAATCACATTGTGTTATGTGATACAGTTTTGTAGGCACTGGGATTCCCACTACCCCTCCCACAACCCTACCCCCATGGTGGATTCCTCCACCTAGCTGCATATTCACAGCTGAGGTTCAATTGGGATTCATTCATTGCATGCATATGCCTAGCATAGAGTTCAGCATCTTGTTGTCCAGATAAGTTCAGTGGTTTCTAGGGGAGACCTTCTCTGGTCTGAAGGTAAAGCTAAAACATTACTTTTTGAAGAAATGCACATAAGAGTACAAATAAAGTTTTTGTTTCTGTGATCACTTGCAACCAGCACCCAAATTCTGAACAAAATATTAGTACCTCAAGAATTCTCGCTATTAACCTTTCACCAATTTTTTTTTCAATGTGTAAAGAACAGTATGTTGTCATTCACGTGATATTTTTCAGATATATACCAAATAATATGACACCCACATAATTTTTATTTTTTTAAATATTAAGTATTATAAATGAGAAAGCATACAGTTGTCTTTTGGGGCTTTGCTTATTTCACTAGTGATGTCCAACAGCACATATTTTGTCGTAATTGTTCATTCTTAAGGCTGAGTAATCTTCCACACTAATTATATATTATTTTTCATATATAATCAGGAGCTGGTGGATATCTACACTGATCCCAGATTCTGCCTATTGTGAACTGAGTTATTATAAACAGGAAAACACAACTCACTCCTTCATTTTTTGATTTCATTTCCTTCAAATGTATTCCCATGAATAGGATGGCTGATTCAAATGGTTGGCCCCTTTTTCATTGTCAGAGGACAGTCAAGGTTGTTTTCTATAATGATGTTTATCAATTTTTATTCCTACCAACAGTTTATTGATGCATCCATTTCTTCATGTCTCTACATTGTTGCCAACATCTATTTTTTTTTTGATATTTTGAGCAATAGACATTCAAATGGATGAGAAGACGCCTCCCTGTAGTTTTCATTTGCTCATCCCAGAAAGCTAATGATTCTGAGCATTGTTTTCCTGTGTCAGTTGGTCATTTGTACTTCATACTTAGAAAAATACCTGTTCACATTCCTTGATCATTTATTAATGGTCACTTATTATGGTCATTCATAATCATATTCATGATTGTGTGTACTGACACTTTGTGGTGTTTTTTGATCTTATATATTCTGAAAATTAGCATCCATTTATTCAATAAATAGTTGGAAATATTTTCTCCCATTCCATTAATTAATTCTTCACTTTTAGTTGCTTCCTTTCCTGAACCGCAGCTTGTTAACTTGAGTAATTCCATTGTCCATTTTTGCTTCATGTCATATCTTTCTGAGATTTTACTCAAGAAGTAATGTCAAGGCCACTGTGTTGTGCTTCTATTATTTTTTTCCTAGTAACTTGATGGCTTCAGGTGTTAAGTTTAAATACCTGCTCCATTGTGAATTGATTTTGCATGGGGTTTGTTTCAACTTCTACATCTAAAAATTCAATTTTCCCAATACCATTTGTTGAAAATTCTTTCTCCAATAAAGTATTTTAGCTCATTTATCAAAGATTGGTTGACTATATATGTGTGGATTTATTTCTGGAGTTTCTATCCTGTTCTACATGGTTATTTCTGCACCAGTTCTAGACCGTTTTGATTACCTTTACACTATGTGTTGAAATTTGGCAGTTATATTTCTGGCTTCATGTTTATTGGCAAAATTGCATTATTTTGAGTCTTTTGTGTTTCCATATGAGTTTTAAAATTATTTTTTCTAGAAGAAATGGTCCAGTATTTGATTTGGATTGCATTGAATCTGTAAATTGCTTTGGGCAGCATGTTGTTGATAATGCTAAGTATTCCAAACCACGAACTTGAAAACTTTTAAAATTTGTTTTGTTCTGTCATCTTTCGTTCCTTAATGTTTTGTAATTCTTATTGTGAGACTTTTCACATCCTTCATTAAATTTATCCTAACATATTTAAATTTGTTGTAGCTATTGTGAATGGGACTTATAGTATATGATCATTCTCAGTTAAAGTATCATTGGTATAAAGTTTTTTTTAAGATTTATTTTATTTTTATTACAAAGTCAGATATACAGAGAGGAAGAGAGATAGAGAGGAAGTGGAACTGCCAGGATTACAACCGGTGACCATATGGGATTCTAGTGCATTCAAGGTGAGGACCTTAGCCACTAGGCCACGCCACCGGGCCCGGTATATAATTTTTTGATGTATTTATTTATCTGAAAGTTACACTCAGACAACAAGAAACAGAGAGAATCAACTTAACATTTGCTTGGTTCACTGCCCAAAACACCAGAATGGCTAATGCTGGGTCAGGCTCCATCAGGAGTCAGGAGCTGCTTCCAGATGTCCCAAGTGGGTGCAGGCACTCAAGCTGTTTGACTTTCTTCTGCTACTTTCTGGAGCAGCTGTGTCTGGGATCACCTCCCGTATGGAATATTTGTGTCACAGGAGGCAGTTAAACATGTTATACTACAATGATATGTTTGCTTTTTTTTTTTTAAGAAAAAGAAATATCCCTTACAAAGGATCATATCATTGACCAACTGTGCTAATTTGATATCCTCCTTTGCAGTCTGAGTTCCTTTGATTCATTTTTCTTGTCTATTGCTCTGGCCAAATATTCCAGAACTACATTGAATAATAATGATGAGTGGGCATCCTGTTATGATTTTATACCTTATTGGCAATACTCCCAATGCTTTTGCAATCAAGTTGATCCTGCCTATTGGTTTCACTACTACTGCCTTGTGTTGAGGTGTTTTTTTAATATCCAATTTTGCTAATTTTTAAAAATCAGGAAACAAGTTTAGAGTTTATCAGATGCTTTGTCTGCATCCATGGGGTGACATCATTTTATCATGAATTTCATTGTTACTATGTATTGTATTTATTGATTTACATATGTTGATACATCCCTGTATACTTGAGATAAACTGAGTTGGTCTAAATGAATGATTGTGGCATTTGATTTGATCTTCTAGTATTTTGCTAAAAAATTTGAGTCTATGATTATCCACAATATTGATTTGTAGCTTTCATTTTCAATTGCACCTTTCTCTGATTTGTAAAAGGACAATTCTGACTTTCTTGGGTGTGGCTGGAAGGGTACTCTTCCTTTTGATGTTTTGATTGGTTTGAGAAGAATTGGTATTGGTTCTTCCTTAAAAGTTCAGTAGAATTCAGTTGTGAAACTGTCAAGTCCTGGAGTTTTCTTTGTTGTTTAACTCTTCTTGATTAAATCTTAGTTTTTATTATTGCTTTATTCAGATTTTTATGTGATTATTCCTCAATTTTGGTCGCTTATATTTGTCCAGAATTCTAAGCATTTCTGCCAACTTTCTGTTTCATTTTGTTGACAAATTATTACAGTTAATTTGAATTATCTCATTGCTTTTTTTTGTTTAGCTTTCCAATGGTTTACCAGTTTTTATTTTTTCAATAAGAGCTCTTAATTTCATTGATCACTTTTTGTTTTAAAATTTTATTTTGTTTATTTTCTCTCTAATTTTAAATATTTCTTTCCTTTTACTTTTGGATTTGACTTATTCTTGTTTTTCCAGATTCTTGATACACATTTTTTGGTCTTTCATTTAACACTTTTCCAATTTGTCATAGGATACTTGTTGCTATAAACTCTTCTTTTAACACTGTCTTGGCTATACTCCTCAAGATTTAATATGTTGTTTTCATTTGCATTCATTTCAAGACTGTTTCACATCTCTTTTGATTTCCTTTAACCAAATGTTCTTTCAGGAACATTGTGCAGTCTCTAAATACTTGCATTTTTCTAGTTTATTTTGTTGTCAATTTCCAACTGCATTGCATGGTGCTTAAAAAAGATGCATGTTTTAATTTCAAATTTTTTAAAGGTTTTGAGACTTACCTATATGGTCTACACCATGGGATGCTTCATGTACTAATGTAAAGAAAGTATATTTTCAGTTGTGGGATGAACAGTTACCATTTGATCCTTAGTGTTGGTTAGCTTTATTGCATCTTTGTTGTTGTTTTTGTCTCATTGATCTGTTCACTAATGCTGATGGAGTGAAGTCTGTCATTGTTATGGCACTGGAGCTTCTGTCTCCCTTTAGACAGATTGAAACATTTGTGTTATTTGACAAAAGTCCTTGCATTTGGCATATATACATTTCCTGTTGAATTGATTCCTTAATCATTGCATAATAATTTCTTTGCTTTAAAGTCTATTTTGTCTTATATCAGCATATCTATTCCTCCTGGCTTTTGGTTTTTCTTTGACCAGAATATATTTTTCCATCTGTTCTCTTTAAATCCATGTGTATGTTTATTGGTGAAAAGTATTTCTTTTAGGTAGAGTATGTAAGAGTCTTATATTTTTAAATACATTAAGTCAGTCTATATTTTTTATTGTAAGCATTTAATCTAATTACGCTCAATGATATTGGTAAGAAATGATTTACACTTAAGTGTAACTTGTAGGTCTTGTCAGATGGTGATAAATTGTTTACATTTTTGCTTGTATTGTAAGCTCTTTATTTCACCGTCATATGTACAAGAACTTCATTTGGTAAAGTGATCTGGTGTGCAAGAAATTATTTTTTCTCTTAAGACTTGTATTATATCTCTTTATTCTCTCCTTGTCTGTAGGTTTTACGTTAGAAAAAACCCTACTGTCAACATGATAAGAATTCTTTTAAAGATGTTCTGAT